TGGGGCTGAGAGGGCTTATTTTGGCTTACTTATCTCAAGACACAGTTCATTGAGGGAAGCCAGGACAGGAACTCAAGGCAGGAACCTGGTGACAGGAACTGCAGTGAGGCCATGGAAGGACACTGCTTAGTGGCTTGCTCCTCATGACTTACTCAGCCTGTTTTCTTACACCACCCAGGATGCTCCAGATGGCACCATCCCCAGTGTATCACTCCCACATTAACTATTAATCGAGAAAATGTCCTACAGATTTGCCTACAGACCAGTGTGACGGAGGCATTTTTCTCAGTTGACCTCTCTTTTCAATAACCTTGGCTGTGTTGACAAAATATCTAGCATGCCTGAAGTTTCTGATTCATCCTCTCTCTCTCTCTCTCTCTCTCTCTCTCTCTCTCTCTCTCTCTCTCTCTCTCTCTCTCTTTCTCTCTCTCTCTCTTTCTCTCTCTCTCTCTTTCTCTCTCTGTCTCTCTCTCTGTCTCTCTCTCACACACACACATTCTCTCTCTCTCCTCTCTCTCTGTGTCCATATGTATACATACATATATATGTATGCATAAAACAAAATATTTTTAATTTATTCTTTGAGAATTTCTTTTTAAATTTTTTATTTATGTGTGTGGGTATTTTGCCTGCACGTTTGTCCATGAACCACTTGTGTACCTAATTATCTGGAACTAGAGTTATAGACTGTTGTGAGCTACCATGTGGGTGCTGAGAATCAAACCCAGATCCCCTGGAAAAGCAGCCAATGCTTTTAACCACTGAGCCAACTTTCCAGCCCACTTTGAGTATTCCATGCATGCGCACAATGTGTTTTGATTATATCTATCCCAACTTTCCATGTGTATCCCTCCACAGCATGTACCTTCCCCAACTTAATGTCCTCTTCTTTTTAAATAAAAAAACTACAATAGCCCACTGATCCAAATTGGTACCACCTATATGCTCACGAGTGTGGAGCTATTCACTAGGGCATAGGCAACTTACCAGTGGCTACCCATCCCCCGCAAAAATGGCTCTTCCCTGGCAGCTGTCAACTGCTTAATAGCGCAGTAACAAGGAGTGGGGCATACAAGACCCTCTTCAATCACTGATCCCCACAAATGATCCACAATGTGTTTTTGTTTTGGGGTGTTTTTGTTTGTTTTGTTTTTCTGAGACAGTATCTCATTATGTAGCCCTGGAAAGCCTGGAACTCCCTGTGTAGACCAGGTTAGCCTCAAACTCACAGATGTCCACCTGCTGCTACCTCTGGAGTGTGCATCATCACCTATTTTTTGTGGGGGCCTTAGAATTTGCATTTCTAACAGTTCCTAGAGTATCTTGCCCTTTCTGGTCTGAGACCATATTTTAAGAATGATTTTGAGGGAGTTGAGGGGGCATATCTTTAATTGCAGCACTTAGGATTCAGAGGCAGGGTATATCTAGAGCAGTGGTTCCCAATGTGTGGGTTACAACCCCTTTAGGGGTCGAATAACCCTTTCAGAGGAGTCGCCTAAGACCATTGGAAAACACAGACATTTACATTTTGAATCATAACAGTAACAAAATTAGTTATGAAGTAGCAGTGAAATAATTTTATGGTTGGGGGTCACCATAACATGAGAAACTGTATTAAAGGGTCACAGCGTTAGGAAGGTTGAGAATCACTGTTCTCGAGGCTAGCCAAAGCTATACAGTGAGACTGTATCTCAAAAAGAAAAAAAAAAAAAAAAAGACTGTCACATGAGTTGGAGAGGTGCCTCAGCCATCCAGAACACTGGCTATGCTTTGAGATGACTCAGGTTTGATTCCCAGCTCCTACATGGCAGCTCCCAAGCATCTGTAACTCTGGTTCCAGGGGACCTGACACCCTCTTCTGATTTCCAAGGGCACCAGGCACTCACAGGGTACACAGACATACGTTCAGACAAAATACCTATAATACATATAATTTTTTTTTTTTTTTTTTTTTTTTTTTTTTTGGTTTTTCGAGACAGGGTTTCTCTGTGCAGCTTTGCGCCTTTCCTGGGATTCACTTGGTAGCCCAGGCTGGCCTCGAACTCACAGAGATCCGCCTGGCTCTGCCTCCCGAGTGCTGGGATTAAAGGCGTGCGCCACCACCGCCCGGCAATACATATAATTTTTATGACTATCATTTAGACTTGAAGATTGAGGAAAACATGGTAAGTTTTCTTCAGATTAAAAGCCAATGAAACATATGATATCATCTCTATTCTAATAAGATTTGTTCTAAATATCAGATCTGTGATACAGAAAGCAGTCTATAGCATGCCACTTTGAATGCATTGACCTTATTTGTAAAATAAAAAGCAAACACAGAATTATAAAATTGATTTTTTTTTTCTGTTGGAGATGTCTTTGTTAGGCAACCATTAAAATCAAGAAGGCATGTTGTTGCAAATCAGTTTATAGTCTTCTTGGAAGGAGAAAAAATAAAGTTCTTTACCTCTCTTTGGCCTCTAATTCAAATTTTGCATACTAAATACTTGCCCCCTTCCTGCCAAAACCAACTAGATTGACTTACCAGGTAGAAAACTGGATTAAGTGTCATTTAAGTAATATATACATATAAAAGTTGATTCCAGTGGTTGGTCACAAAAGAAGACACCAAGCATTGAAGAAGAGCCACAAGGAGACTACGAGGGCCCTGTGTCTCAACTTTGCCCCTCTCTTCTTAGTTTCAATCCAACCAACCTAACAACATTAGGTTTCCCTCTTTCTTTAGACGTGTAGTCCGTTGACAGTCCTGGATTGTTGACTTGGATGGGGAGCACATGAAGGCAGAAGACACAGTGCTTCCTGTCCTGGTAATAAAGTGCATCACCACCGTCATTCCATGGTGGCAGAGTAGACATGGCAACCACAAAAGGAGCTTGAGTCCAGTCACTTGAGTCGTCTCAGTAGCTTGAATTCCAGTTTGTGTTGAAGGGAGCAGGGGAGATAGGCCCTTCTTTCTCTACTATCCCATTGTCTGGTTTAGGCAGCATTTTCAGGCTAGGCAACTCCCCACATCCCCCATACTCTCAACATCTAGTGAAGATCATTGTTTTCTACTAAGTCCATTGCAAGCCGGGGCAGTGGTTCTCAGTGTGTGAGCTGAAGGTCTCTGAGGGTTCTTGAGCTCTTCTGGGATTTTTCAGGAAATCCGTGAAGTAAAAACTATTTCATTTTTGGATTTTTTTTTTTGTATAGGGTCTCATGTAGCCCAGGATGACTTCAAACTTGCTATGTAGCTAAGGATAGTATTAAACTTCTCATCCTCCTGCCTCAAGCGCTGATCATAGGCAGGTTTTATACACAACCAAAACTATTTTTTGTTATTTCCCTACCTCATTTTTAATTTTCCAGAGACATGACTAATAGAATTCTAACTCACTGAGGAAGCAAATATGGGAATACAGCTATATTCTGTTCAGCAATTTCCTAAAATATAATGCCAGTCTCCTCACTGAATTATTTTGTTTTAGAAATTAATCATAAAACTAGACTATTTTGTTAATGTGTAATAAGCATATATTTTTAAATAAAATTAATAAATACACATTTTAAATTTTCTTAATTTTAATTTCTAAGATACTAAATTTCAATAGTTGTAACTTACAAAACATATAGAGAGCCTTCAATAATGTTTAAGAACATAAAAGGATTCTGAAACCAAAGTATTTGAAGAATGCCAGCCCAGGATTGTTTAAGACTTTCTGGGATATAGGCAAATTACCTCCAAGCCATCCATCCCATGTTCTCATTTCATTTCTGTTGCTGTGATAAAATACTCTGGCAAAAAAAACAATCTAGGGGACAAAGTTTAATTTTAACTCACAGTTCTGGGTGATAGGCCATTATCACAGGGAAATCATGAGCTGGAGAAAGCTGGCCACATTGCATCCATAGTCAAGAGCATGCATTCTCATTTGCTTACTCAGCTTAATTTCTCCAGTTCTATGCAGTTCAGGATACCAGGCCTAGGGAATGGTGTTGCCTATACTAGGCCAGGTCTTAACTTTTGTTAGGACAGTCTCTCAAAGGCATGCCCACAGGCCAACCCAATGTAGATCTAGTGATTCTAGGTTGTATCAGGTTGACAGTCAAAGCTAACCATCATACTCAGCTCTCCACCAATGCCCTGTGTTTACTTCTTCTTGTTGACCACTCCTCACCATCAGGAAACAGCAGTGTGAGGAGGGCTGAGAATTATTTAACAAAGAGCTCAAATTTCTTCTTGACTAGTTATTATGTTTGTGACCCTAAGCAACATCGTTTGCTGCTTAAATATCTCAGATATCACATTTATAAAAGTGATATACGGTAATGATTACTTTTCAGGTTCATGACAGTGACATATGCTTGTAATCCCAGTACTTGGGAGGCTGAAACAGGAAGATCATGGAGCTCAAGACCATCCTGGACTACACAGTGAGACTCTGGCTCAAAAATATCCCCCAAATAAATAAATACATGAGGATTAAAAGAGAATATACACATTAAATATTATCCATCATAGATGAACTTTCTTTTTATGATGACCTAATTATAAAGATTGAAAATGTTAAGTGAATACTAGCTTATTTAACTTCCTTGAAAAAGAAACACCCTAAAAATTAGTTAAGGTTTGGTTTAAAGGTACAGTAGGTAAGAGATAATTTGTCTTTGGTCACTTGAGTATTAGCAGTAAAGTATGTTGGCTTCTCATAGTTTATTGTCAAACCTTGCTTCCCTAAATTGAATAACCCTCCCCTACATCGAATGAGGTGGGCTTAGGGTAGTAGAGTCAAAGAAAGCAGTTTTGTCATGGTGACCACACCTAGAAGTACCACAAGAGTGGGGTTGTGGAGGTTCCTATCTAGTCTGTATATATGACATACTGTAAAACCCACTCTTAGCCCCTGCAACTCCTGCCTAATAACAGATGCAGATGGAAGACCATGTTGTAGATCTGCTGCCAGAAAAAAAAAATGAGACGTTTGAAAGACAGCCGTCTCTTCTCGATACTGGGTTTGATCCAAATGCCCACTAAACAGATTTCTTTTCAAAATGTCTGGTGTTAATGAGCTTGATTCGATAGAACCTAATGAATGGGTTGTGGAAAATTACAATCTTTTTCTTTTGGGAATAGTCTCACTTTGTAGCCCCACCCTGGCCTTGAAGTCACTTCAAAGCCTGTGCTGGTGTCAAACTAGTTATCCTCCTGCCTCAGTCTCCCGAGAGAATTGCAATCCTATTATGTCAATTTCTGTGTTAGTACAGAGACATTCTGAGGACCTGTTTCTTCTGCTTCTTGGCCAGCAGATTGCCCTTGCCACTTGCTTCTGTTTACGTCTGCTTCTGTGATGCCAGCTCCCACTTCTGTCAAAGACCTATGTCACCTTCCAACTCCCGAGGTTGACCTGGGTAAAACCACGGAGGATCTACTATAACATCTAAACTACACACAGAAGTTCTGTGTTGGCACAGAGAAAAGACTTATATGTGGGGTCTGTTCTTCTGACAAAAGGCTTACTGCTTAAACTGCCAACAGACGAGCCCTGTACGGGGCCAGGAGTTATTTGCTATCCCCAGATTCCATCATTTAGCTGTGTGTGACCCAAGTCACACATCCCATCAATCAATTATCTCATGGACCAAGAGAAGATCATCTTCTTATGAACATGGGAGAATCCCCCAGTGAAGCCTTGCCTACCTTTGCATAGGCTTTTGTAGGAGTTTGGTGATCTTCCAGAACTGGTAAGCAGTCTATAATTTCATTCACCAGAATTCTGTAACCCTCATTTCTTAGATTCATCGAGAGGTTGGTACAAGTTTTGCTGTGTGACTAATTTCCAGAGTCACTCACTGACCCTCTCCCAGCAACAGCAGTGACTCCTTACTTAGCCAGGCAATAGATGCTTCCAGAGTAGACATTTGACATCAATCCAAGTTGTTTTTTTTTTTTTTATCCAGGGGTCTCCAATATTTGAGGCTGGCACCTCAAATCCAAGGATTCTATCCCCAATCCAAGAATCAGTGTAGCCTAGCACCATGGTCCAGAGGAGTCCTCATCTCTACTGGATGGCCTTGATTCCACACCTGAGAAGATCCCCATCTCTTATTGTATATTTTCAAAACATCCATGTATTTAGTTGTGTGTATGGATGTGCACACACACACACACACACACACACACACACACACACACAGAGGCTCATGTGTTCCAGGGCACCATGTGGAGGTCTGGGGGCAATTTGTGGAAGTTGTTTCTTTCCTTCCACTATGTGGGGTCCAGGGATTAAATCCAGGACATCAGGCTTGGTGGCTAAGTGATTTTATCTGCTGAACTCCCAGAGTAGAGCACTCCCAGATTATGCCTTTCCTGACTCTATAGCCATTCCTGCACCGTTTATAAGGATGAATTTGAGTGATTATAGTGTCTGCCTGCCCTATTTGCTTATAGATGTCATGGAGCAGGCTCCCTTGCGGGCTGGGAATGTAGTTCAGTGATCATTGCCTAGCAGCTCATACCTAGGTTTGATTCTCGGCAACACACACACACACACACACACACACACACACACACACACACACACATTCCTTCTGGATCCTGAGTACCCACAGGATAGGGATTTGATAAATATTTATTAGACGAATAAATCAACAAGAATAAATCCGGAAGAGTTATGAGCACAGGCTGTGCCAGCTGGTGAGTACAGATGTAGTTTTATAACATCATGCACTTTCAATAGCTGTATCCCATTTGTGACAGCTAGACAGTTTTCCCCTTCTGGGTGACATGCAGACATTAGACAGCTGCAGGAGTGGCTGGCTGCTTCTCTAGTTCCTTACCTCAGTCTCTCCTTCCCTGTGACCCACCCGAAATAGATACACAGGCAACACACACACACACTCACTCACTCACTCACACTCTCGGCAGGGGGGCGGGGAGAGGGAGGAAGGGAGGGACAGAGACAGAGACCCAGCCACTATCACAACTTGGACATAAAATGCAAAGGGCAGAGGCGGGTTTGGTACTCTGTCTTCTTGAATTCCACCCCCACCCCCACCCCCAAATTTCAGGGTTTTATTTAGTTAGATCTGTTGATTGGCCTCATTCTTTTTTTTTTTTTTTTTAAAGAAAATAACAATCAGGAACTATGATAACCCTTCTTTAAGGTTTACAAACCCCTTGCAATTTGATTGTGTTGATGTTGTTTTTAGAGACAGCCTCACTAGGTAGTCCAGGCTGGCCTCCAACTTGCCATTCTCTTGCCTCTGCCTCCTGAGTACCAGGATTGCAGGTAGTGCCGCCATGCTTAGGACCCTAAACATCCTTCAAGCTCAGTATCAGACTGGAGAGTAGGCTCAGAGACGAAGCATTTACCCAGCAAGTATAAAAACTTGGATTTGTTCGCCAGGACTTCGGGGAGTTGGGGGGAGGGTGAAAGAGGGGGTGCACTGATTATGAAATTTGCCTATCCCTTGTAGCAGTTCTCCAGCTACACCCATATATTACTTTTTAACTTTTCGCTTACATCTAGAGTTTCTTTTCTTTTCTTTTTTTTAAGATTTGTTTATTTTTTTGTGTATATGGATATTTCCCTGTATGTAAGTCTGTGCACCATTGATGTGTATTGCCTGCAAAGGCCAGAGAGGGCACTGGATCTTCTGTGAGTGCTGGGAATCAAATTCATGTCCTCGGTGCTAATAAGCACTGAGCCATCTCAGTCCCTAGAATTTGTTTTCTAAAAAGATTCTGTGCTGCTTGGAGAGAAAGTCTGTGTATCTGGTTTTATCCCTGCCCCCATACTTATACCTGAGCATAAAAAAAGAAATACTCATTAATTTTTTATTGTTTTCATGAAAAGAAGTAAAAAAAGAAATGAGCTAACTCTTAGAGTGAGTTATTCCACATTGCACGTCATTTCCGGTGCATTTTTATCTTTCTTAGCACTGTGGAATGAACCTAGGGCTTTCTCTACATTAGGCAAGTGCTGTCGCTGAGCTGTGTCTCCAGCCTCACTCTAGCACATTCTGTAATTATATCTCTGATCCCATGATAAAGTCATCATTTGATGACTGTAAACAAGGCAAACCTGTATTTTACCGACTTGAGGGGAAAAAAAAGCCTTCTTGACTACGAAAGAAAAATTATCTCTCATACCAGAGAAATGACTCAGAAATGATCTTTGGAATGGAAAATTACTTTCACAAACTTCTGTGGATTTAAAAGCCTTTGTGGGATGTTTAACTTCAACTCACCTTCCAGCAGCATCTTTGTAATTATCTCTCTTTCTCATAAACCCTGAGCAGGACTCAGCACAACCTTGTAGAATGTATTGTAATACAAGCCAGTGAGGAGCTTCCTGCCTTCGGATTAATGATGCTCAAAGCAGGGAAGAAAAGAAAGTCTGGCCAACAGAAGTAAGGTGAAAACTTACAAGCTGCTGAGAGGGGCATTCAGTGTGTCCCCTGGGGAAGAGGACATGACAGAAATACCAGCTGTTTGTGGAACTGGGTGGAGAGGCCATCTAGATTCTACAGTGTTCTCGAGTTGGGATTCAAGGGGCGGGGTGGGGGGTGGGGGGGGTGGGGGGGGGTGTCTCAGATGGTTGGATTCTGAGAGAGGTTTTAATCAGGCCACATTTCCCTGAAGCCGACTCTCCCTTCCTCTCTGTCCCCCCAGTTATTGGCAAACCATACCAAGAGCTTGTCTGTGAGTCTGCAACAGACTCCCTGGGCACCAGGCCTGCTGGAAGGAAGGGGTAAGTTCAGGCCAGGTGCTTTTTTAAGCTATGCCCACCCACAGTCCTCTCTATCCTCACCCGCAGAGTTGATTCTGGGATCCTTGCTGCTACAGGGAGAGACACCCTACTGGGAATCTGTAAATAGGTGCCCCAGAGTCCAGGAAAACGGCAGGTGTCAATCTCATCCCCCCATGGAAGTTGCAGACCAGGCTGTCAGGCCCCTGCCACATCAGAGGGGTGCTGGTGGCATCACATCTCCCACCCGCATGATAGGCACGCTTTAACTATGCTCCTCCCCATCCTCAGAGTTAGAGGTCCCTGCTCCAGAATTCCCTCCCTTGTCTCTGCTGCCCAGGAGTCAGACACGGCCTGACTTCGTGCAAGTACCCCCTTTCCTCTGAGACTTATAAGGGGCCCTCAATCGGCTGCATGGATTTTTTTCAACTCTCATCAGAGTCCCCATTATGCTGCTGTTGTCTGTCTGTCTGTCCACGGAATTAACAAATCATCGAATAGCTCTCTGAGGACAGTCTGCCTCAGTGTTCCCATTGAGCCCTAAGCCTGAGACCCTTCAGAGACCTCAAAGAAGAAGGTCTGGCAGCTTGAGACACAGGCCCATCCGGCTTTTTGGCTTTTTCTCTTGATAGTAGGGCCCCCTGCCCATGGACTACTTGGCAAGTTCAAGGCTGGACTAGAACACGTTTACCTAAAGTTTCAACTTCCCTGTCTTTGTTTAAATTGACCAATCCTAAATAAAGGGGAGAAGACCCCCTTCCCAACCCATCAAAGACCCTTAAAACATCTAGTCCTCAAGGAGAGACCAGACATTGGCTTCCTTGGGATCTTTTTCTTTGTGTGCCTTGCTCTGTGTGTTTCCTAATCATGAGATAGGGTCTTCCTCTGTAACCCTGGTTGGACTAGAACTTACCTTGTAGACCAGGCAACAGGCAGCTCACAGAGATCTGCCTCTGCTGGCATTAAAGCCCTATATCATCATACCTGGCACCCTCACATTTAATAAAAGTCTCTCTCTTCACCAGTTGATACTGTCTGCTGCATCTGAGATTTTCTACTACCTGTTGGGGAAGTATTTTCTGCCCCTTTACTTCTTTAACTGGCAGAGAAAATGAATGAGATAAAAATCCCTAGGTTCCCTAGGGCCTAGAAGGTAACATTATGACCTGAACTAATTCTTGAGAACACACACGGTGGAAGGAGAGAACCAGCTCCTGCAATTTGTCCTCTGACCCCCTGCCTCCACACAAATGTAATTTAAAATAAAAAACCGATACCACACAAGTCAAATCTCACCAAATACAAACATTGATTTAATTGTTCATCTTTTTTTAAAAAAAGTATAATAAAACTAGAAATCAGTAGTAAGCGAAGCTACAGAAATTGTACAGATACTTGGAGACCCATCAATAGACTCTTGAATGACCAGTGGTTATTGAAGACCTTAAGGAGGAAATTTGAAAGTTTCTACATTTAGAAGAAAATGAACAACTTAGGAAAGCATTTGGGACATAACTAAGTGTCCTAAGAGGAAATTTCATAGACATGAGAGTTAACATTAAAAAAAAAAAATCAGGAAGATCTCAGATAACCTACTACTGCACTTCAAAGTCCCAAAACACCAGAACAAATCTAATTCTAAAGGCAGAAACAGCAAGAGACAATAAAGATCAGAGCAGAAGTTAAAGAAATACAGACTGAGAGAACAATACACAGAATCAATTTGAACAGATACTTCTTTGAAAATATACAATCAACAAATCTCTAGCCAAACTAACTAAAAGGATAGAGAAGACCCAAATTAATACATTCAGAGATTAAGTGGGTGGTGGGGGTGTTCACTCTAGATTCCAGTGAGAAACACAAAATCTTTCGGAAGTACCTTGAAAACTTATATTCATCTGAACTGGAAAACCCAGAAGAAATGGCTGCATTTCTAGCCATATAGGAGCTACCAAAAGAAAATCAAGATATAAACAACTTTAGCAAATCCATGACAATCAAGAAGACTGAAGAAGTAATAAAAAAAACCCTCCATGTAAACAGAATTCCAGGACCAGATCTTTAAAGAAGAGCTAATACTAATGCTCCTTAAACTGTTCCATAAAATAGAGAAGGGGCTGGAAAGATGGCTCAGCAGTTAAGAGCACTTGCTGCTTGCTCTTCCAGAGGACCCGAGTTCAGGTTCCAGCACCATGTCAGGTGGTTCACAACTGCATGTAAGTCCAGCTTCAAGGGATCTGATACCCTCTTCTGGCCTCCATGGGTACCCACACTAGCATTTTCTCCCTCCCTCTCCACCCCCCAAATAATACAAGTAAATACAAATGTAAAACAGAAAGAGAAGTAACACTGCTGAACTCTTCTGAAACCAATATCACTCCAATACCCAAACTAGACAAAGACACAACAAAAAAGGAACTATTATTGACCAATTTCCCTGATGAACACAGATGGAAAATTCTCAATAAAATTCTTGCAAATCAAGTTCAAGAACACTTTAGGAAGATCATTCTAAGATCACACTGTGACTAAGCTGGTTTTATTCCAGGGATGCAAATTTGGCTCAACATATGTAAATCAGTAAGTGTACATAAATAGACTTAAGGTCCATCAGTCTCCATCAATGCAGAAAACACTATCAAAAAGTTGAATAACTGTTGACGATGAAAGCCTTGAAGATACTAGGATTAGAAGGAATATACTTCAACACAATCAATGCTACATTATGACAAACCCGTAACCACCATTGTACTGAATGGGGCAACACTGAGAAAGTTTCTTCTAAAATCTGAATGAGACAAGTGTAAAGTCTATGCTATCCATTCTCATTAAATATATAATTCTTAAAGCTCTAGCTAGAGCAATAAGCCAAGAGGAGTAAACAGAAGGTACACTAATAGAAAAGGAAGAATTGAAATCACCCATTTGCAGATGAATCCTATACATAAAAGACTAAATATTCCAGCAGAAAACTCTTAGGACTGATGAACAATTTCATCAGGGGATCAGGATAAATTCAACATACCAAAAAAAAAAAAAAATCAGTAGTAAGCCTGGTGAGATAGCCCAGTGGGTAGTGCTTGCCATGCCCTTAGGAGAACACAAATTTGCACCCCTCGAACTCACGTATAGAGCTAATGTGCACAGCACCAGAACCTGTAACCCAAGTGCTCCCACAGGGAAATGGGAAATGGAGACAGGGGAATTCACAGAAACTTGAGAGCCAGCTAGTCTGGTGTGTGCAGTGTAGAAAACAGCAGACTGTCAAAACGAGGAGGAAGTCGAGGCAAGGATGCATACCCGAAAATGTCTCTCCCCTTTGTCAACACAAAAGCACAACTCTCACCAAAAAGGGGGACAAGAGGTAGTTTATCCTGGAGCCAAATACGACTGACTATGGCCAGCGATACGTTCCAACATGTTTCATGAACTTTTTAAACTAACAGAAGGAAGAAAGTCACAGTACATTGGTGGTATGATTCTGAAAGTCACAGTACATTGGTGGTATGATTCTGAAAGTCACAGTGCATTGGTGATATGATTCTGAAAGTCACAGTACATTGGTGGTATGATTCTGAAAGTCACAGTACATTGGTGGTATGATTCTGAAAGTCACAGTACATTGGTGGTATGATTCTGAAAGTCACAGTACATTGGTGGTATGATTCTGAAAGTCACAGTGCATTGGTGATATGATTCTGAAAGTCACAGTACATTGGTGGTATGATTCTGAAAGTCACAGTACATTGGTGGTATGATTCTGAAAGTCACAGTGCATTGGTGGTATGATTCTGAAAGTCACAGTGCATTGGTGGTATGATTCTGAAAGTCACAGTGCATTGGTGGTAAGATTCTGAAAGTCACAGTGCATTGGTGGTATGATTCTGAAAGTCACAGTGCATTGGTGGTATGATTCTGAGAGTCACAGTGCATTGGTGGTATGATTCTGAGAGTCACAGTGCATTGGTGGTATGATTCTGAGAGTCACAGTGCATTGGTGGTATGATTCTGAGAGTCACAGTGCATTGGTGGTATGATTCTGAGAGTCACAGTGCATTGGTGGTATGATTCTGAGAGTCACAGTGCATTGGTGGTATGATTCTGAAAGTCACAGTGCATTGGTGGTATGATTCTGCGGGCGAGGCGGTGTCCCTTTCCTCCCTCATCTTCCATGGTAATTCTCTTTCAGCTGATTCCAGGCATCTCACTTGGCCTTGACTTCGAGGTCCGGTACTCCAGGCCATTCTGCGTTTATGTCTCCACAACTGCTTGTTTGAGTAGCTTATATGAGCACCACCTCATTGATGAGCCGGCTGGAACTTCCTCGGCAGCTTTGTCAAACCTCAGCCTGAGACATGCTAGAGATTCCTAGGAGTCCCAGAGCTGGCTGAGGATGCAAGAAGCAAGATCTGATAGTTCAAAGGTTTGGGCAGGGGGCGGAAGAGATGGTTCAGTAGTAAGAGTACTTGCCCTTCTAGAAGATGAGAATTGAGTTCCAGCACCCACATAGGGTGACTCCTAACCACTTTACAGCTCTGAGTGGATCTGATGCCTCTGACCTCTGATGGTGTCTGCGCGCGAGCGCGCATGCACACACATACATGCACACAAATTAAAAAATAAAAATAAATCTTAAAAAACGTTTGTGCAAAGACATGTACCTGTATAACCAACACCTCAGACATGGAGCATGTTCATCATTGCCCTTTCTGAAGCAATGCCTGCCCTCACTGCTCAGATCATCCACCGGTCCAGTTTTTTTCACCATAGGCTGTGTTGGTCTGTCTTAAAGCTTCATGTAAATGGTTTCACATAGATGATAAATACTCCTTTTGTGTTGTTTTCTTGGTTTGACAAGTTATTTAGATTTATTCATGTTTGGAGAGTTTCAAGAGCTCATTCCATTTAAAGCAGTTTTCTTTGTATTTTATTAAATGTCAGAATTTCTTTATCCATTCTCTTTTGGGGGAGGAGTATTAAACTGAGTTCTATTTGTTACTGTAACATTCTTTTTTAAAACCAATCAAACACAAATATGCAAATGTTCTTCTGTGAATGCAACTGCTCTCACAGCCCCTGTACACCGGGAGGAAAATTATAAAGGTCATGCAATTTGTTGGCATTTTCTCCTTTTTTACTTTTAAATGGCACTGCTAACTAAGAAGAAGTAGGAAAGACCATCTTTAATAAATTGTCTTAACTGTAGAGAATTTCTAAAAAGTAAACTGACAACATGCTAAACCATGCCTTTGATAAGTCCCAAGGGACCACAGATCCATCCTTTTTATTGGACGAAGCCATCCACTGGCATCTTCTAGCCTCTGTCTAGTACTCCACCTCCAGATCCACCAGGGCTGCAAGCCACTGCACTGGGAAGACCTTACTTCCACCTCTCAACTGCTGGTTCTTGGGGAGTGCAGTCCTGCTGGCAGAGGGCAGAGATGGTTGTCTCACTTACAGGGACATGCAGCAGCTGTGGAAGGAATGATTGTATCCTCCCCAGAATACAAAACATCCCTCTGTTTTCAGCTTGACATCAAAAACAGGCACCCATTACCTGGACCCTGCAGATGGTGCATGGATTGCACCCCAAGTCCCAGGTCTACAGGGCCACCAGCTCCATTTCTTGAGAGAACATTTTGTGTACCCTTGTACCACCTTAGGAAGCCTGTGTTCCTGTGCCTGGACTTTGTAGGATTTCTCTGTTCCACCTTGGATGTGGAAGTGGCTTCATTCATTCTTGAAATTTGATTGAAATTTGATTTTTAAAAGGACTTTCAATTATTATAAATGAAGTTGTTCTGAATGCTCGTAGAAATCCTTTTGACTGTTTTCTTTGGGATCATACTATTGAATTGTGCTTAATGTTATTAAAAATTCGCCAGGCAGTAGTGGCACATGCCTTTAATCCCAGCACTTGGGAGGCAGAGGCAGGCAGATCACTGTGAGTTTGAGGCCAGCCTGGTCTACAGAGCTAGTTCCAGAACAGCTGAACTACCCAGAGAAACCCTGTCATGGAAAAAAAAATCAAACCATTTTCTAGAGTGATTATAGCATTTCACTAGGTACAAATCTTACCACCACCACCACTGCCATCAACAACACTGCCAAACAGATTAACCTTCTTTTTTTTTTTTTTACCCTCACAATTTTTATGGGTCTGGGTAGAGTTTAATAGACCCCTTTCAAGGCTCCAATCAGGGTGATAGTTCAGACTTAAGTTCTCACGTGGCAGCTCAGCTGGGGCAAGGACCCACTTACAAACTCAGGTAGCTGGTGGAATTCATATCCTGAGGTCATATGACCCAGGACTTCAATTTCATGCTGGATGTCAGGAAAGTTTGACCCCTGATCCTAGAAGCTGCTTGTAATTCAAAAAATAATTTGTGATGGGCTCGTGAGATGTCTCTGTAGGTAATGATCCTACTGCACATGCTGGAGGACCTGACTTTGACTCCCCCCCCCAGAACCAAGATAGAAAGATAGAACCAATTTCTTTCTTTCTTTTTTTTTTTTTTTTGGTTTTTCAAGACAGGGTTTTTCTGTGTAGTTTTGCACCTTTCCTGGAACTAACTTTGTAGCCCAGGCTGGCCTCAAACTCACAGAGATCCGCCTGCCTCTGCCTCCCGAGTGCTGGGATTAAAGGCGTGTGCCACCGACGCCCGGCGCACCTGTGCCAATTTCTTTTTTTTTTTTTTTTTTTCAGCTTGCCAGATGTGACTGTTTATTAACTGACCAGATTACAAAAATACCACGGGCAACACCTTAGTTCATCCGTCTAATAAGCCTGTTTATCTGGTCCTCCCTGTTGCCAGCATCTCCACCTTCCACAAAATGGGTTGTCTTTTTCTTCATTCCGCCTCGTGGAGAAGATAATTTGAAAGGCCACAGGAAGTTATTTGCTTCCTTGAAGCGTTTTCCAACTGTATAGATCTCGTGAATCAGATCCTCCATGCAGATGATGCCGTACTTACCAAGAGATCGAGCAATCAGCGAATTATCTGTCAAGGCAATTCTCTTCTTATGGATTTTGCCATAGCCGCGCTTGTAGATGAGCTCATTCACCGACTTCAGGTTGGGGTACCCCCAGGCAATGTAGGGTTCCACAATCCTCAGCATGTTGATTGAAGCCTTGTTGAGCTTAACAAAGGTCCCGTTGAAAATCTGACGAAGACGGAGAAGCTGCAACACCTTGCGGACCTTTGGGCTTACACCATTGATACCTCGGATTCTGATGACAAACGCCAACTTGGGCTCTGCAGGCACGTAGAAGTTTCCGGCTTTCCTTGCCATCCTAGCCATCCTAATCTCGGTCCGGTACATCTGCCTGTACTCCTTGTGATAGTGCTTTGCCTTCTCATAAATAAGCTTCCTCCTGGCCTTTCGCAGTGTCTTCAGGGCAAACTTCTTCTGAAGGCGCTTCACCTTCAACTCTGCGAAATTCCTTCGCTTCTTCTTGAGGGTTTCTGGCACAGCAGGAACCTTCTTCTTCTTCTCCGGCACAGCCTCCATGGTTCCAGTCGGAAAAAAAAGAGAGGGTGCCAATTTCTTAAAGTTATCCTCTGACCACCACACATGGCCTTGGTGCACACACACACAAACACATACATGTACACACAAATAATAAAAAAAATTTAAAGAGGAAATCCAGTGTTGTAAAAGTAACTGCTTTGTTCCCAAGCCTCAGGGGTATACCTCCTATAAGAATTTACTGAAGATGCTCCATAGCACTTATCCATAGATACACCTCTGACATCATCAGAGCTTCTGGGTTGTATAGATCAAGTGTCTTGCCAGCTTACACAGCAGCTTGAATCTGATCAAGAGAAGTCTCTGACTTTGGTATCCATTTGCAGCTGGAAGTCACATGATAAGTCGGGGGAGTTTCACTTCCCAAGACAGTGTATGCTGCCCTCCAAAGATGCTCACTAAGTAATCATATCTTTCTTGGTGTCAGGATGTGAGAGGCACAACTTGTCCTCTACACTGAAAATGATGTTCCCAGAACACGAAGGACATTGACTCCTGCTTTCACCGATGAAATAAGCCCTTGAAGACCTGAGACTTCATCTTGTGTTCTCTGGCATAATGCCAAAGTGAACTTTGCAGATAGGTGTTGTTAGGACTTGGATACTAGTCCAAAGAAAGATAAACTAATAAATTAAATAATAAGTTAATAAATTTTGTGTTTAGAAAGTCTATAGCACATTATCAGAGGATTCACTGAATAAGATCCAGTTCAGATGGTGGGGATTCAATATTTTCAGACTTTTCCATCCAAGTGTCTCTTAGATCTTCTCTTAGGTTTGTTCTTTTTCCTCTTTCAATGAACAGACGTGGACCTAGGAAACCCTGCAAACCTGTGTGCATTTAGTTTCCTTTCAATTTCTTTGTTCTTCCCAACAGATCCTGTACCTGGTTTATGGCTTTAGGCTACAGGAAATCAGAGTCTGATTAAAAATTGCCAGTATAAACCGGGCGGTGGTGGCGCACGCCTTTAATCCCAGCACTCGGGAGGCAGAGCCAGGCGGATCTCTGTGAGTTCGAGGCCAGCCTGGTCTACAGAGCAAGATCCAGGAAAAGGCGCAAAGCTGCACAGAGAAACCCTGTCTCAAAAAACCAAAAAAAAAAAAAAAAAAAAAAAAAAAAAAAAAAAAAAAAAAAAAAAAAAAAAAAATTGCCAGTATGGGTAAATGCTTTCACAGTGTGTTCTGTGGTGCCAAGTTGTTGCTCTGAGATACCACTTTCTCTTTAAAAGTATACAACTCCATCAGCAGAATTCAGCCACCCCACAACCCTTCTGCTTGTTCCTGTACTATTCCAACATCATGGCCACTGCATCTCAATTGACTGCAGTGGGAAGCCTTAGTAATTTTACTATTACGGTGAGTTCTGCTTACTGCATAATGTGCCATGGACCTTTATTGTCAGAGGATTACTGAGTAACCCAGCTCCAGTATCCTATCCTTGTTCTCAAAACAAATCATTGGGCAATCTTGTCACCAGGCAAGCATCACTGAGCATCCTAAGGGTCAGTGGGATGCTTCTTGTACCAAGTATCTTAGCTTGCATTCTCTAAAAACTAGAGTTTGAGGGGATGGAGAGATGGCTCGGCAGTTAAGACCTCTGGTTGCTCTTCCAGAAGACCCAGGTTCATTTCCCAGTACCCACAGGACAGCTCCCAAATGTCTTTAACTCCAGTTCATGGGATCTAATGCCCTCTGTGGGCACCAGACATGCAAGTGGTGCATAAACATACATGCAGGAAAAACACCCATATACATAAAATAAATAAAATATATGTTTTTCATTTTGCTGTCACGTTAGACCTTGGGCACTATCTAGAGATGGCAAAGTTATGAGTCCAAGGTGCCTGTGTCCCTAAGGGCTTTGCTAAACAGAACCTTCACTTAGTCCTAGTATTCATTTCTCTAGACATTTCCTTGAAGTAAAAGTGATCTTTTGTTTTATTTTATTTTATTTATTTTTTTGGTTTTTCGAGACAGGGTTTCTCTGTGTAGCTTTGCGCCTTTCCTGGATCTCGCTCTGTAGACCAGGCTGGCCTCGAACTCACAAAGATCCGCCTGGCTCTGCCTCCCGAGTGCTGGGATTAAAGGCATGTGCCACCACTGCCCAGCTCGACCTTTTGTTTTAATACATTGATATTTTATGTTCTATTATCGTCAGCTAATATCATTGTGGTTAATTTCTACACTACTGAAATACATTATCCATGTGTCTTTAGATCATACTCCATAGTATATTATTTCTTTCTTTCCATTCACCTTGCAAGCTCCTGAATAACAACCCAAACCAATGAACAACGTCACTGACCCATAAGAAGAAACCTCTCTATTTCTAATTGCAAGGATTCCTCTTCAAAAGGAAAAAGTAATGCTATAGTTTGAATGTGTCCCTAAATTTCATATGTTAGAGATGTTACCATTGATGTGACAATGTTGAACGATGGGACCTTGAAGAGGCCATGTGATTCTAAT